GTGGAGGAGTCAGCATCAAGACAAGAGGAATAGTACCAAGTTGTTATTTTGTACACCTTAAACTTACACAATGTTGTATGTCAATTATAGCTCAGTAAAACGAAGAAAAGAATTTAATTTAAATAAAAATAAATAAGTAAACTTTTTAAAAAGAGAGAAAAAAGGACCTAGAAAAAGGGAAGCCTGAGGATAGGAAAGACAAACTTTGCTCACCTCACAATCTGGTCTATTGGAGTGCCTCAGCAAAATCAGCCCAGTTCTTTCATAAGTTTAGGAGTGAAGATTCTGCCACTTCTGAATTCTATTAGCTGTTCCAGAAAGAGCTCCGAGGATGGAAGAATGGAATATTTTTTTCAACATACCTTAAAAATTAAATGGGGCAAAGGGTAAGAAAAAAATCTACTGGTTCTCCAAATTATTCTTTGATAGGTGCCCTAAATTTAATTATTTCAAGATCCTCAAGCTAACATATGACTAATGCAGATATCTACCAATGTAGGAAATTATGGATTATAGCATAACTATACTTTCATTAATATTTTGCAAGACTTTCGTCTTACATGTTGTATTGGATGCAGATCTCTGTTTCTGTAAATGTCAAAAACCCATACTTCACGCTTATGCCTCCTATAAACCTTCCATTTTTAATTAAAAGCTTACCTATGATCAAACTGCTATCTGACACTTTAATACCATTAGCCAAATTTACTTTTAATACTATTTGGGGAATACAATCATGTGCAGATATATTTAACATGTTTGTGCACCATAGCTAGAAATACCAAATATACTAGTATTCTTTTGAGAAAAATCTCAATACCAGAAAACTGAGAAACCGTCCTAGAAGTCCTTGCTTACTTGTATGACCATTAAACCTTTACTTTGGGTTGTCTTCTAGTTTGGGGTGAAAGAGATCATACTTTGTTGTTGAGTGTGAAAAATGTGACAGGAGCCCTTTATATCTCCTTCTCTAGATTCTTTACAGATTAAAAGAAAAGTTTCAGCTTTCTTTGAGACAAGATAAAGAGAAAAATCAGGAGATCCACCTATCACCCCTCGCTTTACAACCAGCACAGTCTGAGGCAAAGACAGCCAACAGCATGGTCCAGCCTGAGCAGGCGCCGAAGGTCTTGAGTGTGGTCGTAGACCCTCAAGGTCGACACGCTCCTGAGATCAAAGCTACCACCTCTGTCTGCCCTTCTCCTTTCAAAATGAAACCCATTGGACTTCAAGAGAGGTAAGAGCTTTTTCTGTATCCTCCACATGTTGATTTTTTTAGAGTACTCACCAACTAAAAAGGATAGAACTAGAGATGATTGGCATATTAGGTACCATCTCTCATCACCATATGGACACCAGGAAGACCAAAGGGTCCTGGCTTCGATTCTGGTTAAGGGCATGTACCTCGGTTGCAGGCTCCTCCCCAGCCTGGGCCCTGGTCAGGGCTTGTGCAGGAGGCAACCAGTCGATGTGTTTCTCACACATCAATATTTCTCTCTGTCTTTCCCTCTTCCACTTTCTCTTTAAAAAAATCAATGGAAAAATATCCCCAAGTGAGGATTAACCACATACACACACATACACACACACACACACACACACACACACACACCAAACAACCAACAATAAATTAATTGAAGCCCTAACCAGTTTGGCTCAGTGGATAGAGCATCAGCCTACGGACTGAAGGGTCCCAGGTTCGATTCCGGGCAAGGGCATGTACCTTTGTTGTGGGCACATCCCCGGTTGGGAGTGTGCAGGAGGCAACCGTTCGATGTTTCTAGCTCTTTGTCCCTCTCCCTTCCTCTCTGTAAAAACTCAATAAAATATATATTTTAAAAATTTTAATTGAAAAGAAAGAGATTGGTTACAGTGAGCTCCGAAGTCCTTAAAAGGCAAACACTTTGACTTCATAATGGAGGGAAAATGGAGAGCAATCGAGTCATTCTTTCTACTTCCTCTTCCCAAATATTTGATGGATTCCTTATGCATCCGGGTACCATTCCTTGCTTGAATACCACTAACTTGCCATCTAGGTGGCAGTATGGAAAGACAGACAGGATGGGGCTTTTTCCTGAAGCTAACCAGGAGTCGGGAGAACTGGAGTTGGGACCCAGCTCTGCCATTTCTAGATGGAGTGGCTTCATGAGCCATTCACTTATCTGGGCCTCACTTTCTTCTTCTGTAACATGAAGGGGCTAAACCTGACTTCTTCACTTCCTCACGTTCTTTCACGCTTGTTACCAAAATTAACTTTAAGCATTTATGTGTTTGTTTTTTCCCAAAGAGAAACCTTGAAGCAGGCATCTGAGCATCAGTGGTGTACCAAGGGCAAGCGGGCAGAAAAGATCTGCTCAGATGCAGGCCATAAGGGGGTCATTTTCTAGAGATGATTTAAAGATGATTATAAAACTGACTAAAAGTCAGACTAATTTTTATTGTCATCATGTAGCACCAATTCTAAGCAAGGTCAGTGATTAAATGCTCTAGGGAGTACTTCTTCCCAGCATCCCCCTGCCCTTTGTCAGCCACTGCTGGACAAGTTGGGTTTTCAAGGAGCATAAGGTTAAATACCAGTTTATTCATTTAAATGAAGTGAATGTTCAATAAAGGAGAGTACCGGCATGGTCTCTTATTCATCTCTGTGGTCTATGTAGGAGACTTAAGCAGAGCAAGTGTGTAGTCAGTAACTAAATGGATTTTCTGCCCCTGGTCTTCAAACTCCCCTGCATCCCCACCCTTTGCCTCCCACTTCCTTCCCACCTCAAGCAGGAGAGAGCGAGTACTTCTGTCTACAGAGGCTCTAGGTCATACCCTCCCAATTGTCATAACTGACTCCATCAATTTCCTTCTCCATTTTCAACTGTACCCTCGCTGCTAAGGCTATCCCCCAGCATAGAAACAGGTTCTCTTTTGTATCAAAGGAGCTCCCTTAACTGAATTCCTCCTCTGGTTCTTATCTCCCCCACTTCTTTAAATGGGTCTTAAATGAGCAGAGTATATTTGTTGCCTTATTAGTCTTCAAACTTCCATCATCACTATTTCTCTCACAGGTTTGCCAAGTTTGCCAATAGACTAACCACAAAGCACATTTCATTTTCACACCTAGCGCTCATGCCTACTTCTGTTTTAAGCTGTTTCTTCCTTTGGCCTCCAAGACATTACTTTTTGGTACTTGGTTGGCTACCTTTAGGCTCCCCTGCAGACTCTTTTCTCTCCACAACTTCAGAGTTTCATCAAAGAAGTAGATTGAGCTGGGGGTACTTCTTCAGGAAGCATTCATGTCAAAGGCAGTAAGAGAAGAAGTGGTTGTGGTTGGATTACCCAGTGAGGAGAGAAGAGGTGTAAAGGTGAGGCATGGAGTGAAGAACAGGAAAGGAAAATGCAGAGGGAAATTCAAGCATCACTTTCTAAAGCCATTCCAAGCTTCCTCTAGCTCCTTCCCTTCTTTCTCTAGCCCACCTTACTGATACCAACTCAGCTCTCTCCTCTGTTCCCCTCTGCTCTAGTCCCATAGCCCTATGTGCATACAGTGTTTAAGGCTTCTCAGGTGTAGGTAAAGTTTTCATTTAGTAATGTCCTACTCCCTATACTCTAAGCTTCTTTAAGGCACATACATGATTTAATTGTCTCTTTGTCACTAATAAAAGAGAAAGATGCAAATTGACCATACCTTCATGATGCCCACCGGCCAATCGGGAGTGAGTATGCAAATTAACCCAACAAAGATGGTGGGTTAATTTGCATACACAGGTGCTGAGCCACCAGGGGCTGGTCGGGATGCTTGCATCATCACCATGGCAACAACGCTGGAGTTCTGCACCACTCCAGCTGCTCCGCGCCTTGGGGCAGCATGGGAAGGGAGAAAGGTGGCTCTGGCTGGAGCAAAGATGGTGCCAGCAGCCAGAGGAAGTTAGGTTCTAGAGGAAGAGCTGTGGCACTTCCAGCTGTGGCACCCCTGGAAGGCCTGGCACTCAATTGTTACATTTTCATTAGCCATGGGCTTTTGTTGTTCCATGTTCTCTGAATTAAGATATAATTTAAAAGTAAAAACTTGACCTATACTGTCAATATAATTCAGCCTTTGTAAGTGGGTGGACTTTTCTTAGAGCTTAGTTTTAATATAGTTGTAGGGTATTACTTGCTGGCTTCCTACCAGTGACACACCAGGAATGTTTACATGGTGATTCCAGCAGCCACAGCCCATGGAGCAGAGGCAAGGAAAGCTCATTCATTCATTTCTCTTCTGTAGGTTACAAAGTGTACAGCGTGGGCCATCCAGTATGTATTATTCTATGGCCAGAGCATTTGGAATTGATGTAAAGTTTTAAAGAAAACAAGCAGTTTTATTTCCCTTTTGGAGTAAAATAATTTTTTTCTCCCATGTTCTTGTTTTAAGTTTTTGTTCATAGTCTGTCTTTCTTCCACTCCCCCCCTCCCCTCCTCCCAGCGATAACTTGGGACAAACAGTTAAGCCTTTGTCTCCACACAGATAAAAGCACCTGTAAGCAATGCTCTGTCCAGTAGTTCCATGTGCTGATTTCTCAAATCTGCAATAATTCATCAGGCTAATGTTTCTACTTGAAAATAAATAATGTTTGCTAAAAAAAAAAAAAAAAAGAATCTTCATGCATCAAGCCTCTAGTATAGAATATAATTCCTGAGGCCAGAGCTCCTGGAAGTAAATGCTTTAAGGAATGAATTAATGAATGAATGAATGAATGTTATAATGAATAATTCTCAGGTCACCTTTCACTTGTGGTAGGGAAACAATTTGCTTATTTTATCATCTCTTCCTCATCTACTCTCACCCTATTTTTCTACCATAATTACCTGCCAAGATAGTGTAATAATGAGTTTTAAGAATGATAAAATATGAAGGATATACAGTGTTCTATGGAGACAGAAAACTTTTCTGAGAGTTTAAAGCCTTAAAAATTAATTTATGCTTATGTACCTTTAAAATGGCTTTATGTTTTACAGTTCCCCATCTTCCTATCATGGAGTAAAATATTAATCCTCTGTTCTGGCTTCATTAAAATCATCCTGAGGCCATAAAGTTTACATTATGAGTCATTTGTCTCAAAATCTTTTGGGTCATGCCATATAAATCTCTCATCCCTGATGAGAAGAATCCATTATTCTAATATCCTATCTAATAATAGACAAACATGGTAATTAACCATACCTCAGACACACTTCCCAATGACTAATCAGGGAGATATGCAAACTAACTGCCAACCAAGATGGTGGCCGGCAGCCAGGCAGCTGAAGCGAACAGGAGGCTTGCTTGCTCCAGTGATGGAGGAAGCC